GGCAGGAGGGGGTACAACAACTAAAAGCAGTCCAAAATGGCATGAGGAAAGGCTGGTTTACAAAGGTCTGATGTTTAAATTCTGGCAAATGTCACACATTGCTGCAACAGCAACCCATGGGAATATGGATCCAGTACTGATTTATAATAACAAATAGAGGTATTTGCAGCACCTCAAAATTGAAATGTAAAATATAGTTGTTGGAGGAAACGAATTACTTCTGTTTCCTTCAACTGCAGCTAAATGTGCAAGAAGTGGGTGTATATTTTGAGGAAAACCTGATCTGAGGTAGGAAAAAACCCCAGAACCTGGGAACACTTCAGCACTATGTATCATATGTTTTTGAAAGTCTAGAAAATGGTCAAAATAAGCTTTCAGATGATCAAGATAAAGCACAGATAGACTAAAACTGGAACTTGGAATCTCTAAAAATTTGAAAAATTCTATGTGCGTGAAGTTTGAATTTGAGCGTGCAGATTCAAAATATGCGTGTTGAGCTGGTGCTTTACCAGAGAGTTGTTAACTTTACAGGACAGATAAGAGGAATTTTGTGGAGTATGCTTCTGTGAAAACTCCATAACCCAGTTTGAGATAGTTGAACTCTGATTGAACCAAACTGCTTAAATCTAATCTTAAATAAGATGAAAGCATTATGTTCTCTATTGCCATGTATGCAGATAAGTTGAAAGGATATGGTATTATTTTGTATTTTATATCTTCCGTTCCCCAAATATATTTTATTGTGCAGTTTCTATTTTCATTTTTGCTTTTCCAACTATTACTGTATCCCTAGGGTTGTGGAGGTAGAGTTGAAAATAAAAGTAAGAATAGAAATAAATGGATACCTAAAGGCGGATTGAACCATAACATTTACATTTTTTCCTTATCTGATCTGAGGGTTTTGCAATTGCTGGGTTAGCAACCCTCCCTCTCATTCACGAACTCATATTTGACAGAGCAACAGGAATGCGGATCCCTTGTTTCTTAGCATCACTTAATGGATTTGATTTAACAAATCGCTTCTGGGATTTGCGATCACACACCACTGCTGATTTTTAACAGGACTTCAGGCACATGGTATACATGGGTTCTTCAGAAGAAACTCATTTCTAGGTACTTAATCTGTGAGAGGGAACTCTTTTTTGGTAATTTTAAGGGGACAAATTAAATGGCTAAAATGTAGAAGTGTATTGGTTCATTGCTACTGTATTTCCAGTGACTGAAAGCTGCCTGGTGGCTGTGGGAGGGTGTAACCAATTTGTTTGAATAAGCTGTTCATAAGTTTCCACTCTGAGACTTGTAATCCTTATTTAATAAAATGTTGTCATAAAGACCACTTTTTAATTCCTCGATGGGCTGGAGATGACGTTTTGAAACAGAGGTCCCTTTACATTAAAAATATGCGTACTGTGGTAGACCGAGAAACATAAGGCTTTATATAATATTTTTGAGTTTTGCAGTGTGTTTTCCTTTATTTTACATCAAGTGACAGATGACCCCAAAAAGAGTAAGTGATAGATTCATAAAAATATAATTGTATGTGGTTCGCTGGTTTGTAGTGCAGCCTGGGTTGGAAATCACCCCGGGGAGGCAGCTGGCACAGAGCCTAACCCCATCCGGGACTGTTCCATGACATTTAACCTTGGGGCTGCCCACACCACTTGTCTGTTGTATTGGCTCATCTTTGTGTTTAATTTTGGGGTCTCCTGGGTGGGGACTGCTCTTCTCCCACTCTCAGTGAGATCAGAATCAGTGAGATCTACTTTTTATTGCCAGAAGTGTGAAGGTTTATGTGTGGGATCACACAATGGACGTGAGGTCCCTCTCCTTCAAGTCAAGAGACAGGAGGTGAAGATGTTGAAGCAAAGAAGAGTGGAGCTTCCCAGCCTTAAATAAGGTTGACTGCTGGACTGTGTCCTTCTGTTTTATTATGCCCCAAAATACCCTGTAGGAATGACAACAGGCATTTACTAGAAGAGTACTTCAAGAAACATAGGTGAACATTTTGGGGGTGGGAGAAAGCAGACAAAATGCCATGATCAAAATGCTCAGGGAAGCGTGTGTGGCAATGGTCGGGAGGACTGAAGAGCAATGTTGAGAATGACAGACCCGAAACACCGGTCTGCAGCAATGTGGCAGTGTTCAAAAAGTTGGAAGCCTTAAATGCTCTTTGTTTTAGATCGTTTAAAACTCTGTGTGTGTGTGTGTGTATCCTTAAGCGTATGTGCCAAAATTTCTGACAAGTGGTAGCCAGACCCTAGGGGCTTACATCAGGCTCCCCATAGGATCAAGAATTATTAATAAGGGTTAGGCTTAGTTTGATTATAATATCTTTTATTTCCAGTACTGGAGCAGGGATCATCCCAAATAGCATGCAGACAGCAATCACCAGAAATTTGCCTATAAACACAGAGAATAAGGGCTCACAGCAGCCCACCACTGTTAGTAACTGCTATTAATGTAGCATTCCCGTGAAGGCTGAAAATGCGTTAACATGGAGGAAAGACAGCATGAAATTACATGTACTGATACACTCTGAGCCAGATGTTCCTGTTTAGAGAAGCCTTTGTTTTGGATAATCTCAAGTACAATCTTGTGTTCCTCCAGCCTGCCAGGCAATGGGGACAGGGATGATGCTGAGCTCCTGGGCCACCTCTTCCATTGAAGAAGTGGCTGAAGCGGCTCCAGCTGGCCTTCACTGGCTGCAGCTTTACGTGTACAAGGACCGGGAGGTTACCAAATCCCTCGTGAAGCGTGCGGAGAGAGCAGGCTACAAAGCGATCTTCGTGACGGTGGACACGCCATTCCTTGGCAGGCGCATTGATGATGTGCGCAACAAGTTCCAACTTCCTCCCCACCTCAGGTAGGTGCTGGTGGGATGGGTGCGTGGCAGTGCCACGGTCACCATGAGGTGCTGTGAAGGAAATTTGTCTCTGGCACAAGGAATTTCTTCCAGGTGCCACGTGCCACACTGGATGATAACACTGGGGAACTGAGCATATATGTCTTGCTGTGCTTGGGCTATGATCAGCTTTGAGTCAAAACTAAGCTTTCTTGGCTGCTTTCAGACTGTAAAAGACAGTGTGTGCCAGGCAACATGAGGCTGCAGACTGATGAAGTTGGAGAGATGGGGCATTTCTTTGTACATCCATCAGTATATTCTTGGATGTCTTCAAAACTCAGTTGGACACAGCCCCATGCAACTTGCTCTGACTTCGAACTTGGATCTAGTTGCAGAGTTGGCTGTGTTCTGTGTGGGGGCCTGGACTAAATGGACTAAAGGTCCCTTTTAACCGATGTTACGGTCCCTTCTAACCGCTGTTATCCTATGACACTGCACTAGGTCCAGGGCCATGTTGCTACTGACTACGGAGCCCCTTTCCAAGCAATTTTAACTCTTTTTTTACTCAAATACAGAAACACATGGGTATCGGTCTTTTTAAATTCTCTGTGATGGCTATTTCTACGCCCATGTGTGTTTTGGGACATTTTCTATTCCTCAGAAGAATTTGTGGCCTCATGATTGACTTCAGCACTAGTTCTAGTTCCTCTCTACTGCAGGACCTATGCAGCATTTAATTTTAATGGAGTTATCCAGTGGTGTTGTAAGGTCACTGATTTCACTAGCCTTTTGCAAATATTAATTGGGAGAATGCAGAGACCACCCTGATAAACGTATGCTGAAGTGCTGGCACAGTGTTAGCAGCCAAGGACTGGCTGGAAGAGTATTTCTGGCGGGACAGGTTATCCAGGACTTGGGTTTGCAAAATGGAGCTAAAAGTCTTGTGAGAATCTTGCAAGTGGATCTTGGTGGTGACCGCAGTCTGCCATGGCATATGTTAAGATTACTGTGTTTGCTCTTATTCAGAACCTGCAAATGAACACAAAAATGGAAAGCAAAAGAAAATAAAGGATAGCTGAACATATTTTGAAGCAGACTAACTTTGATTTGAGTTCTGGGTACAAGCTAGTTTTGAATTTTACTAATGGATCTGAAGTGCTCTTCCCATGTCTCCTAAGTCTGTTATGTTATACTATGTACATACCATATGTAACATGTACATAGCAAGAGATACAGTGTTACATCCTGAGGTCTTTCTGCTTTTTCATAATATTCAAATTGAAGATAAGCCGTGGGACTGTGCAATGAATCCAATTGTTCACCTTGCAGGAAAAAAAACCTCCAGAGCCTGGGTGTTTGATCTCCCCCATGCGCTTGTACTTGAAGTTGATAGATGATATGATGAAGGTTGACAGAGCAGCCTTTACTCTGCCTATGTTTTCTGTGTTAAAGTATGATCTTATGAGGAAAGCACCAGAAAACAAAAAATCCCTGACACATCTAACGTTAAAATGTAGTACACTAGTATGCATATGTCCTGTATAATAATTCTGCTATAGATGTGTGCTTGACAAAATGTTATCAATCCACACTGTCATTTTGCCTAAGGAAAAAAATTAAATAATTCTATTAAATAGCTTTTTAAGGGGCAGTATCATTTTAAGACCTGGGGTTAAAGGATTTTTGGATGTGAGTGAAATAACCCAAAAATATTTGAGGAAAGCGATACAGCATTTCTGAAACTCTTTGACCTCACCTGACCAAACTGTAACAAGGTTTTGTTTAAGTGAAATAATATGAAGTTGGAGTAATCTTTAAAGGTTTGAATTAATTAATCACTTAAAATTTCAGAATGGCACTTGGACAGTGTTTTGTTGCAGTCAGTGGTGAAACTCTCCTAGCACAGGGCTCTGCTCAGTTATGTGATAACTTTTTCTTGGCTTCAGGTTTTCAACAAAGTTTCAAAGCAACAACAAGGTGCCATTGTGCTCAGAAACGTATGTAAGGCAACATTCATTCAAGTGTTGATCTGCATTTCACAGGCCAAGAAAAACAACAGTTATTTATATAATCTTATCCATGGTTCTGTTTTTCTCTGGGTACCCCACCCTCCACAAACCAAGCTGAAAAGCTGGATCTTGCCGAGAGCCTGCTCCTTTCTCATTTTCTTCTGGGACTGGAGCTGAACAGAAAAGCCATGTGAAATGCTGCTTGTTGCAGGCATGAAATCAGCAGTGAAACTAGCCGGTTTCCATGCAAAAAACCCCCATGCACTTCCCAAAATGTGGAATATGAGTATAAAGTAGCACAATGAGGAACGAGACACGGTTTCCGAAGAACAGAGCAATCAGCCTCCTGTGGGACATGGGTGTCCTTGGTGCGGTACTGGTGTTGCCAATGAATACGTGGGGCTGCTTCAGCTTTTTAATACAAGCACAGCATGAATTTCTCTATTTGCCCTCCTTTCCCCTTCTCCTGCTTTGTCTAGTAAGTCTGTGAGCTCTTTGGTGCAGGGGCTGTCACTAACCATTCAGTTCCTAGAACCTGCGAGACTGATTTGGTGCTAAAGAGCAAATAATAGCTAACGTTTTCATATGAACTTCATTTCCCCCCTTACATCTTACAAGGAAGCATACAAAAAAGATGCAAGGTGAACTGGCTCAACGTTGCTGTTGTCCGACAGATGAAAATTCCGAATTCTTTGCAAGGATTCATGAAGACCCATGTAACTTATGGACTTCAACAAAATTTCCCTTCCTCTTCTCACCTCCCGCCTACCCAATCCCCTATTTCTCCAGTCGCTGAATCCCCTGGATTTGGTGGGAGGGGGGAAGGCAAAACTAAATTTGCTGCATGTAAGCTAAGGAGATTTTTGCTGGTAAGTAGAGGTGCACCTCTTGAGTTCAGTGGGTCCTGGGCTATGTCAAGCAAGATTGATGTTCCTTTCTCACATCCAGCCTGTACTGCTCTTGGGTCTGAATGTCCCACAGCCTCTGATGCGTTTATCCTTATGGTGCTCCTGGCAGCGGCTGCTCTTCCTATTTAATCGTGGGAAACTGAGGCAAAAGGAGTGGCTAAGTGTTGTGCCCAAAGTCACACAGGAGGTCTATGGGAGGACAGATGCTTGAGCCCACGTTAGTGCTGTAACTGCTGGGTTTTCCTCCTGGAACCTTTAGATTTTGGACTTTATCCTCTTTCTTCTGAAAGAACTAGGACTGTCACCTGGGGCCAAAGAAACTTGCACCAATATTATCAAATGCTTTGCCAGCCAAAGGTTTCAGCTTACTCAGGACTGTGACCTGATGTGCCAGGATAGGCTTTTTTTTGCTCCTGCCCTGCAGTATGCAAAGGTTTTAACACAGGCATATTGAATGCTGGTATTAGGGACTGATTTATCGCTACAACTAATGTTTCTTAGACTATTTTTCTGTGTCTTTTGTTGTTTTAGATTAAAAAACTTTTCAAGCAGCGACCTGGCATTCTCCTCAGGGAAAGACTTTGGAGAAAATAGTGGACTAGCTGTGTATGTAGCCGAGGCGATTGATGCAAGCGTCAACTGGGAGGACATCAAATGGCTTCGAGGGCTGACCTCGCTGCCCATTGTCGCAAAAGGAATCCTCAGGGGTGTGTAGCTCTGCCGCTTCCTATGGGTGAGGCGAGGCGTCCCTTCTTGCAGAGGCACCAGGGAAGGAAAAGTACTTATGCTGGGGAAATTTCTGCAGAATTGCATTACATTTTAATGGCAAGCATCTGCTTTGCTGATATGGAATACGGTGGGATGCATGTTCATATTTCTGTGCTGTGCTAAGTAGGGAAGATTTTCTAAAACAGAGCCAAAAACAATCAAAGGGAAAGAACCTTGTCTTCCTGATGCATGGTTAGGAACACAGCAACCGAGACACTTGCAGAAGCAGCTGTTTAAATAAGTACCTGGAGTTGTCAGATGGTTTGTATGGTGCTGCTGCAGGGTGTGTCTACCCTGATTTTTCAGGAGGTAAGGACCAGAGGCACTGGGCACTAAACTAGTTAGCTGGTCAGCTGGCATCGCATCAGGTGTATCTGAAATCAGATGCAGCCAGGAAGACTGAACTTGCTCTGTTCATTGTGCCTGTAAACACTAACTGATCTGAGTTGTATGCTACTTAAAGGACAGCTGGATTTCCATTCTGTCAAGAGCAGTGAGCACAGTGAAGTAGTTTCGTTAAGTATGGATTATTACTGTAATCATGCTGATAATCTTGGCTTGGAGAAAATAATTTAGCAAAATAATTTCTTAGTGATGAGTTGTGGGGCATAGTAAAGAAAATAAAGGCTAGAAACCAAAGTGGCTGCTAATCCAAAGTGGTAAAATGTTCTGCTCCAACATTTCAAATAACTTTTCTAGTCTTACTGCTTAAACATAAAACTGCTTTCTGTGTTGAGATGGGGCTTTGGCAGGATGAAGCCCTAAGGTGGCTTTGCATTAGTTGGCAGTGTTTTTTTTAGTGACGCCAAAATTTCCCTCATTGTGGTGTCAGTAAGGTCCCAGTTATGGAAGGACATATCTTGTTTGTTTGTGTGTTTTTTCCTAGCTGATGATGCTAAAGAAGCTGTAAAGATTGGGGTAAATGGTATCCTGGTGTCAAATCACGGAGCACGACAGCTTGATGGGGTCCCTGCAACTGTAAGTACTGGTACCAATACACACCACTAGTCTCTGGTTCTTTCCACCTTTTGGCTTCTTGTTTGCTTTCTGTGAACACATGGCAGCTGGAGAAAAAAACCTGTAAATATGTGTGTAATATGCCTTAACCCATGAGCAGTAATCTCTCTGCGCTTTTTTATGTATGTCACGTCATACTCTGAACTACATGCAGCCTCCCCTTGGTCAGATCAAACAGAAAAACCACAGGAAGTTTTATGTGGCTGTTTCTCCAAGCTACCTGGGCACCCTGTCCTTGGCTGCAGCACCCTGCATGGAAATTTCAGATAGTGTATTATTGTCAGTTAAATTGGAAATTTAGAAATCGGAAAGTGTTTAAGAATTTTTTTCCAGTCTTCTCTTTTATTTGTCCTTTCTCATCTTTTGTTGAAAACTAAGTTTGCAGTTCACTGAAGGTTGTACTAGAGTTGTTTTTCCCTTTTAATAGTCTTCAGAGACTTCTGAAAAATTAGAGTTACAGAACAGCTAAAGGCGGAATGAAACTCCCTTTTTCTCCTTTCAAACATTTTCACCTTTGGAAAAGGTACAGAGTGGTTAAATTAGGTTTTTTTTCCTTTTTCCCTTTCCTTGTCGTGCTACCTCATGCCTTTTCCAAAGGTGAAAGGGATTTGAGGAATTCTCAACTGGCAAAAAAGAAAGAAGTAAAGGAAAATGAAAAAGTATGTGTTCAGGCTGAAGGAAAAAACCTCCAAAATTCCAGTCATCACTCATTTTGCTTCATTTGGTGCGGGAAAGCTGTGCAAGTAAAGAACGAATGAAAGGGAGGAGAACCAAAGCCCAGTTGTGACTGTTTCACTATTCCTGATGTGTCCTTGAAGAAAAGCCTCCAGCTTTCCATGATGATTTTCTGAAGGGAGAGGAGGACAAGTAAGCCTTTTTTCACTGTGCTGTGTTTTGCATGTGAAGTCTTATCTGCTCAGCTATGCTGTCCCACTGGCATGTCCTCCCCTCCCCTGGAGCACTTCTGCTCTCTGCTTACAACCTCAGTGGCAGCTGAGGGCTTCCCCAGCTGAGTTCCTTCACTCGCTGATTTTCTGAGGTTTTCATGTTGGACCCATAGGTCTTCTGGTTGTGTTGGCTGGTTCTTCACCTGCCAAGCCCTGCACTGGGGTGCCAAATGCCAGCACAAATGGTTTCCTCAATGGTTAATGAAGTTAAGGCATTATCCTCTGAGATGCTCTTGCCTGTCTCCAGGTACTCCTGGGGACTGGTAGGAAAAAGACCCCCTGATCTCAGGACTTCTCCACTTTCAAAAGAGAGGCTGAAATTTTTCTTTTTCAAATGTGATGTTTTTGTTGCTGGAGAGTGTGCAGCTCTCCAGTTTTAGACACCTTAAGGGGAACTGAATTTTCAGAGTGTGGGTGCCTAATACTGCTGAAAATAACTTTTCTTCTTTAACTTCTGTCCTCTTTATCTTCTTGTCACCTTTTCAGAATGTATTTCCCAATTTCACTAAGGGTATTTGAAAATCTTGGGCAAGTCTGTGTGAGGTAATACGACAGTATGAGCATATTAAAAACATAATTTTGAGAAATAAGAAGTTCAAGAAACATGAATTAATTTTTTACCAGCTGCAGTAAAACAGAAATTAAACTTGCAAACTACTTGTTATGAGTTATTCCTTTGCAACACCACAGTGCAGAGGAGAAAGCACTATAAAAGCTGATGTATTCACTGGATCTCATTGTACAAAGAACTACATTTCACAATGCAGTTTTCATAATGTAAATATCTGTATTGGATCATGCAAAATATTTCTGTTTTTGGAACATAATAATTTGCTTTAATTTCATGGGTTTTTCAGAACGTGAGCTGAACCCAAGCTGGTTAATATTTCTAGTGTCTAGTTACACATTGAGGAAATCCATGTTTTAATTATGGTTTGCATCATACTTTAGTTATTATAGCACTTCAGTGTTGGTACAGTTTGTCAGGATGTAGAAAGCAGTCTCTGTATATGGAAACAGATCCCAAATATGTTTGGCAAGAGAGCAAAACCAAAGGGAGGGGAAAAAATCACAGCAAGTGCCAAACTTCAAGAAAATTTTAATCCAAATCTAAAACCAAACTGCACTTTCAAGTTCCGTCCCCCCACCTCGTAGTCATTTTTTATCCATTAGAAAGGAAATTAATTACATCCGTATTTGGAAGATATGAATTTGTATGCCTTTTGTCTTACTACCACACAGTTTCCAGTTTCCTTAGTACTTGGCTTCCAATTTTGTGTCTTTCCTGATTTTCATGAATGGGAACTATTTAGGCATTACAGGAATGGTTGCCCTGTAATTAATGCTTGAGGCTTGAATTCAGGAGGCTCATCTTTTCGTTGGTAACTCTTGTGTGGAGTGGACATGTTATTTAACTCCTTGGTTAATTACTTGTAACTTAGGAACGGTAAAAATCCCTTTCTCCCTTACCTTTATCACTGGTGTAAGGGATAAGTAGAGCTTGGTGAAAGTAATATGTACGTGCATTAAAAGAAAGCATTTCCCACCTTGCTCAAAAGTCAGAGGAAAGACAATGTTTTCTTATATGCAGAAGTTTCCTCTACAATTATTCTTGTAATCAAGATGCATTTTCAAAAGAAAAAAATATATTCCTTAAAACTTTTCAGCCAACTCTAAGTTCCTCAGGGCACATCCTTCTCTTAATCCATGTCTATAGGTACAATGCTTGCCTCTGGGCTTCTGGATCCTAGCTGGCCCTTAGTATAAATGAATAATAAATTTAAACAAGAAAGTTAAGATGATTATTTAAAAAGTGAGAGTGATTTCATTCCCAAACTAGTGAGCACTGGAAGTTTGGGGGCTAATATCAAGGAAAGGCCTCCTCTGTGCTTGCTGTTTCTTATAGTCTTTGGAAGTATCTGATACCAGCTTGTGTCAGATACATGTCATGGGATCAAAGGGCCATTTTGTGTAACCCTGCCGATTCTCATTCTATTGATGTGACTCTCCAAATAAATTTGACCTTTATATATATCTGCTAACATGCTAAGTCATTGCTGTTTTTCAATATAAAGCTGTGCAATTTGTGCATGCAGTTAGCCATGCAACTGCTCATTTAGCTTCTTTAAAGCTTGAATCCTGTACGTAAGAAATCATTCAAAAAATAAATAGGGTTACAGAACTAGACAAGTTGTATTTCTGGTTTCACTCTTTTAGATTGATGTCTTGCCTGAAATCATTGAGGCTGTGGAGGGGAAGGTGGAGGTGTTCCTAGATGGTGGTGTAAGAAAAGGCACAGACATTCTCAAAGCGTTAGCTCTCGGTGCCAAAGCTGTATTCATCGGAAGACCTCTCATCTGGGGCTTGGTTTATCAAGTAAGTTAGAAAAAAGCTCAAATTTCTGTCTTTAGATACCTAGATTCGCTTAGTGTATGCATGTGTGTGTGTATATGTGTGCACACAGGGGTGCATGTGTGATGGTGTCTGACTGTGTGTATCCAGACAATCTTAATAATATAACATTTGCTATGACAAGCACTTGAGAGTTACAGTTGTGCGTAAAACTTTGTTGGCACATGTATACATGTCTGTATCTACACACATGAGCTATATGTACACATAATAGCACATATTGTCTCCTAATCTCCCAGGGTGAAGAAGGAGCAAAAGAAGTTCTCCAGATGCTGAAGGAAGAGTTTCGCCTGGCAATGGCACTGGCAGGTGAGACATCAACGTTTCTGTTGAGGAATAACCACCTCTGTTTCAGATTTCCTCATAGCTTTCATTTGCCCTGGGCAAGACACTATCGTAACCTATGGAGGGAAATGTTTGCAATATAAATAGGTTAGGCTTCAGAGAGATAGGAAAAGGATTTCTTGTTATTCCTGTCTTATAGATGGGGAGCTGAGCAGATTAAGTAAAAACAAGTAAAAATGTTTTCACAAGGAGAGCAATAAATCCGTAGAAAAGTAGTGGTGAATCCTCGGTCACTAAGGGGTGGATTTCATCTGACAGAATGTAGATTTCTATGGGATAGAAGAAGAAAAGCCTTAGAGTAGGATAGAAAAGCAGGGCTTCAACTGATATGTAACTTCTCCTCCAGGATGCCAGAGAGTAGAAGAAATTGGCAGGACACTGATACGAAGACATCAAGTATTGTTTTCCAAGATTTAGGTCTGAAGACTATTGCCTCGTGTGTTGCCTGTTGTACAAAAAGTGTGCTACCAGACACAAAGCAACTGCATTTGCTCTTTGAGCCTCATTGTGCAATCCTGACTGAGAAGGGGTGCTCTGTAGGAGATCACTTGTTAAGAAAGTACTTGCAAAAAATTTCACAGGTGTTCCTGTATTCTCCTGGGTTCTTAAGGAAAGCTGCTCTACTGGGAGTTGTGATTTGAGATGGGACTTTATACAAGACCAACACAGAAACTTTGAGGTGTTTTGCAATAAAGACTAGTATTAACTTAAAAGCCTGGTACTAACTTAGCTCTTAAAATAAAACTATAAACAGAAATGTTTTGATAGCAAACAGCTATCAAAATGCAGAAATTTAAAATGTAAAAGATACTTCTTGCTCACTGTTTAGAGGAGCTACACTGTAGATCATAGAGGCTAAATCTTGCTTTCTTATGAACATAGTGTCATTCCCCTAGCGACTATGTGCTATTACTTTGTAAGCATGTGGGCTTGTAGCATGCAAGCTGCAGGAGCTCAGAGGACTCTCAGTTCTTTAGAACTGAACAGCGAAGTGAAATTGGGGAAATTCTGCTCTTTGAGTGACACAAAACCATTGCAGTCAGACAACCTTTATGTATGTGCATCAGGTATAGGTCAGATCCTTGGCTGGTGCAAACCCTTGCAGCCCTATTGCCTTCACCAAACTGTGCTGATTGCACCCAGCTGGAGCCCTGAGTCACATTTTTCACCTGGATTCATTTGCTGACAGTGGCAAGTGAAGGCTGATGCTACCTGGGAGAGTTTGTAGGGTTTGCAGCCACGTGCAAAAGAGAAACTTGAATAATGGAGGTATTAACCCAAGACTTGAGAAGATCCTAGTGGCTGTATTCAGTTTCCATGAACACCTTTCAGACAGATAAATCTTAGTGTTATTTGCTCTGCTTATGACTAGGATACAGAGACATACAGGATCTGCTCCTCTGTTCTCTGAACAATCCAAATACCCCCTGAATTCAGGAGAAATTTTGCAACTGTAAAGAACTAAAGAATAGCTTTATACTGCGAAGTGACCTTTCTCAAAGTGAGCAGGCAGAGGAGGTAAGACTCTACTAATATCATCTTGGGTAAAACTAAGGGTGGCTCTATCCGTCTCACTTTTGTTACTGGGAGTAGGGAGGGGCCACTGCAGAAAGGTTTTGAAAATCTTGTTCTGGAAATTTAGTGTTCATCTTCAAAGAGAAGATTAAAGAAAAAGAATAAAAAAAGCCTTGATTTCCCTGTTCCGCTATCACTGACACCACTGGCTCCACCATTTGTTTCCCATCAGTGTCAGGAGGACTCATGCATTCTGACTCTTCCTTTTTGCTCTGTTTGAAATATCCCTTACTGAGCTTTAGAGGCAGCTTTGTAATAAAATGATGGAATATTACAATGTGAACTAAAGCTGGGGCTGGAACTCAAAATGGGGAGAAAACCCAAAAGGCCACATACTTGCCCTTCAGTTGTAAAATCTGTACTCTTATTTACTGCAGAATGTAGTGTGTTGTGTGAGGGTTGCGTAGCAACAAAATAAAGTTTATCTGTGTAAGGAAATATGAATGTTTTTCAGAGCATAGAGAAGCATGATTTCTGCTGTTTACTGCACTCACCATATCTGTTGCAATGTGGACTGTGTCAGATGTCAATTACAGACTAACTTCAGAAAAGCTGTTTATTTTAGATAGTATAAATGTTACTTAAAAGATAGGGGCATAATATCTTATGTTTACATGTTTAAGATCTATTTCTAAAGTCTAGAAGATGCAGTTTCCTGTCTTTGCCCCAACCAGATTCTAGGAAAGTTCTGTAACTCTGTGGTCCAGGATAAATTCTGATGGTGAGGAAACTGGTTTTGTTACTTATACGTAATTAACTATTTCTAGTTCCTCTGAGATAATGGGTTTACATTGTTTTTTCCTGCTTGTTATCTCAAAATTGTCCGATTGCCTCCCAGTTCAACCCTAGTAAGAACAGACATGCATTAAAAACCACAACTAGAGCCAAATACTAAAAATCTGTGAAACAGAGTTAAGAGAAATGAAATTAATGTGGCTGGTAGACTTCTATGTTTAAAATATTCCACAGTGAAGAGAATTTCCTTTGATTTGAGACATCCAAATCTAACTGCTTCTGGAAGTTATTAAAAAAAGGTAGGAATTCTGTTTGGTTTTGATTTTGGGTTAGAAAGCAGAAGGATTCATGAGTGCCCTCAACAATTTTCAAAGCTGAATAATGTCCAGTCTAAGCATAACTCTACCTCACAGTTCCTTCACCTGCAGAAGCTGAGAAGAAAATGTAGCACACATAACAGGTGGTGGGGGTAGATCTTTCTGCAGTTTGTGAGGGTGTTTCTGAGGAGAATATAAGCAATATAATAACAGAAGAAAATAATAGGTCTTTGTGGGCTCCTTTAAGTAGAAAAATACAATAGTTGCCTCCAAAGTAACAAGTGAACTCAACAAACTCATAGAAACAATTAGTCACGGTCCTCAGGACACGGCATAGAAGTAGGGGGGGAATGAAAGGTGTATTTTGCATTTATGACGCTCTACTATATCTGCCTATCTGCATGTCAAATAACAAAAACAGTGGCTTGATGGTTTGAATTGTGAAATTATTTTCTGACTTTACCTTAGCTCCATATTAAGCCATACATACCAAGAAAAAATATCTACACAGAAAAAGTTCTAATAAGTGAGGAACATTGAATGATATTTATCTACCTGTAAAGACAGGACTCAGCTGGTGTGCTGAGTGCCTAGAACAAAACAACCCATTTGGGAGGCTGGTGACTGAACAGTAACTGAATGGGGTTCCCTAACCACCTCTGAGGTAGACCAGGAATATTCCCTGGAAAAAAGAGATTGCAACTCTTAATGGCAGAACATTTATCAGATCTTTTGTGGAGAGAGAAGAGACCAAAAGCAAAACTTGAGACTGTGAAAGAGGAGGATGATCCTGGACTTTTTAGAAGAAGGAAGTATCTCCCAAGAGGGTAAGATATGAGGCAGGCTTTTACATGCTGATGTTTCATATTCAGCCTATGTGTGGATTTCTCTGGTGCTGTCAGTTTAGAACATCCTGTTCTTGGAAGCATTCCCACAAAGTTGTCTCCTTGGGCCCACTGACCCCACAGAGGATTAAATCCACTGAAGAGAATATGGAAAGGAGCGGCACTTTAGATAGGATGTGTAGAAACCACTCAGGAGATTTAGAGAGGCTTCAGCCCTAGTTTGGAATCTCAGCAACTGGACTCCAGAGACCCTTTTCTAGCACGAAGTTCTGGGGAATACAGTGTATGTCCAAGTGACAAGGTCAGTGAAAGAGCCTGTAACATTTGTCTGGCCAACTGATTGAGTACATCAAGGCTAGACATGCAGGGAGCAGGGCTCTCCTAGGAAAAAAACAATATGCTTCTGCAAAAGACCCCTTTGAGCTGCAACACATTGGCGGTCTGGGCCTGGAGGACAGGTGTGGCTGCACTGGGAAAGTATTTGCCGTGAAACCCTGGCAGTTAAACACAGCAAAGGAGAGTGCCAAAGCATGGAGGTACAGGACTGCAGATGCGGCAGCCTGGTGAGCAGAACATGGCAGCAGATGATGTGACATCACCTGACTTTTTAGATAAAAATTGGAGGAGGAGGTTGGTGTAGCTTCTCGACAGATTTTATTCTCTCAGACTGTCAGTTCTTTGAAGTGGAGACCTCCTGCTTTTTGAATGCCTGGAGCCTGCGCACAGGGTGGACAATCCAGTAAGTAAATGATAGGAGTCATAACTGAGTGCACTGAAGCTGAAGAGCCGTGAAAGACATGATCTGTTTTCTCGTGACCTCCACCTCTCGCTGTGACTCTGGGACATGTTATTGTGTTTTAACTAGTGGCCAAGTCAAACAAATAGCTCTGGAACTGGTAAGAACTCCACCTCCATCCCCAATTTTTCAGGTTAAGCATGAAACTTGTCTGTCTTACTGGGAATTTCTGAACATAAATAAACAGACACTTAGAGTAACTCGCTTTGATAAATGGGCAGTGTAGGTTGGGGCCTGTTGGATCTGCAGGCGACTCAAAGATGAAGCAGAGCTTAGGAATGGCTCTGCTTTTCTTGGCTTCTGAAATGGTTTTCAGCTTGAAATCAAATACCGAGAGCACGAGGAAAGCTGGCTTCTGAAGTCATGATTTTGCACTGAACCTCACTGTAAGGATATCTCTTATAAAGCTACTTTTGATGTGGAAATTTGGCTGTAAACCACACTGAAGGCCATTATAAATAACCACTTCATCACAGGACACACAGAAGTTGGCTTCCTTGAACACTCCTAGAAAGCAAGTCTAACCTTATTGAGCCATAACCTCAGCTAGTGTAAATCAGAGAGGCTCTATTGACTTCATTAGTTTATACTGATTTACACCAGCTGTGACTGTGGCCCACAATACAGCAAGATATATCGGCTTTTAAATTCTGTCACTGAGTGTTGAACAAAACTGTTTTTAAAACAAGACTGGCAATCCCAAATTTAGATACTAATGAGACACAGCACTGTAATTGTTTCACGATGCCTATATGCTCCGTTTTGTTTTCATTTTTGCCTTGCTTCTGTTTTTCTTATCTCCTGCCAAACAGAGGGAGAGTACCGCATATGTTACATTCATAACAAAGATGTTTTGCTGCTTTGAGAACATGTCCTCCAGATGCAAAATGCCTTTGTGTTGTAGTTCAGCTGCTTCTTTTGCATAGGTACGTTGGTTATGCGGCAATATAAGAATACCCTTGAGGGCCAGCCCCATGGTTCTCCAGGGCCTGGAACTCTTGAAGGGGCCACCCAGAGGCTGTCCCAGCTAAACTTCAAAGATCTGATTCTTCCTTAGGTCTTTCCAGCTCCTAATCCATTACTTCATATGGGTGGGATGAATTGTGTCCAG